CGGGCCCTGCCCGCAGGGACAGGGTAGTGTAATAAGAAACAGGGAGTCAGGGTCCCTAAACAGGGCGACCGAGTGGTTCCGACCGCCCTGCTTCCCTGCCGCGCTGTGGATCGTGTAGTGTAATAAGAGACAGGGAGGCAGGGAGCTCAGTTGCGTGGCCGCATGCGCAGAGTCTACACGTTTGTTTATTTAAAGTTCTACTATGTCGATCTACTCTCTAAATCATTACTCGTATTTATGTCATGCGCTAAAGAAAAAGATCCTTCTCAATGTCATCGACATCTACAAAGATATGCCTTATCAAATCTTGATAGGAGTTTCCAGTGGCCAAAATCGTAAAGTGACAACCAATCTCTCTTAAAAAAGTATTCTTTTGAATAAAACTTCTTTTACGGATTCTATCGCGTTTAATTTTTTTTTATTAATTCCCGACGTTTCGGGTGCTTTACCACCCATGGTCACGGGGGACTGGTTGCTGTAAAACATCCGAAACGTCGGGAATTAATTAAAAAAAAATTAAACGCGATAGAATCCATACAAGTAGTTTTATTCAATGCGTAGTGTTCGCGTAAATATAAGAAATCATTAAAGTATTTTTTTTTTCTATTAAAGGCGTTACTAAGCTTATAACTCGTCCAATTGGTTTTCACCTACTCTTTAAAATAGTTTCGTAGGTCTGTTGGGTCCAAAACGTTGACTATTTGCATATTCGATAGTTTTTCTCTCAGGAGCAAATATTTTTTCATCCACATTTAACTTTCCTTCCTTTTTTTAGCTTGGCCTTACACGTTACCGCCAGCCAAAGTTTTTTTTATAGGATAGGGTGACAAACGAGCACACAGTCCACCCGATGGTAAGTGGTTGCTGTGGCCCATAGATACCTACATTTATCCTCGTATGCGAATCAAAATGCAGATGCGTTGTCACCCGTGAGGACTGAGATGGAATGCCTCTTTTCCAGTAAAAAGGGTCTCCGGTTCTCTACACTCACCATACGAAACACAGCAGTGTTAAGCTGCTATTTTACGCTGGTATTCTGTGAGAGCGTGGTCCTTCCCCGGTCGAGCCGACCCATTCGTACTACAACTATACTACTAATATAGCTATATCATGGCATTACCACGTAAAAAAAACAATAAAGCAATTTTTTGACGTTTAGATAAAGTCTGCGCCATAATGCTAGACGTGCAATCATTTCCACGTTCGAGTAACAACTGAGGCAGGGAGCGATTTCTAGCGTAGTGTAATAAGCAGCGCCCTGTCTGGTAGGCAGGGCACACGATGGACAGGGCCCGATAAATCGTGTAATGTAATAAGCCTTTATAAGATACTATGTCTATGATATAAAAGCATTCAGTTTAGGGCTTTTTAAGTCATGCGTAGTCAACCTTTTGTATGTTTAATTCTTTTCCCACGTCTAACCTTTTTTTCATTAATTCTTACCTGTGAAGGAAGAATTAATATTCGTTCACAGGTAGGAATTATAGGCAGAGGAGATAGTCTCAAATCGATGCACTAAGTCAAACAGCAAACGAACTTCCAAAACACTCAGCAAAACTCAAGTTGTGAAAACCACGAACGTCAAGATGCGAGTGAAAGCTATTTTCCGTAGACAATTTTTATTCTATAATATGCTACTTACGTTAAATAATGAATCATGCAAGTTGTAAAAATATTGGTGTTCATAACAAAAGGTATCGACACTTCTTTTTTTTTTTAAAGTGACTATTACCGACCGGCTCCTTTTGTTCAGATCACCATCTGTATTCTTATCTTGTTTCCTATTTACCGACAGTTTATGATCTTATCAGAAATAGGTCATTAGTCAAAATTAAATCATAAACCATATCGAAAAATTATATATAGTCGGTGACCAAAACAATGGTGTCGGCACTTTGTTATCGACTCTCCTAGTTCTGCTACTCGACACTAGAGGGCGCTAGTGTTGCCATGTACAAGACATTAATAGTGGCGCGCAACACTTTCTTTTACTCGACACTAGAGGGCGCTAGTGTAACTAGTGTTGCCATGTACAAGACATTATTAGTGGCGCGCAACAATATTATTATTGACCATGGCCTGACCACAGGTCTGATGGAGTTGGTCCGATATAAAGTCGGGATCTGAGACGTTAGTGATAAGAGATAGTACGAGAGATATAGTACACGAGACGGCTACTGATGGCTACTCGCACGGCTCTGTGGCGCAGTAGTTTAGCAATGAGTTGCTGCGCTAGGGGCCGCGGGTTCGAATCCCGCACGGAACAAGTATTTGTATGGCCTACAAATAATTGTTCTGGGTCTGGTTCTGTACTTGTGAAATTTATGTATGTAAGCTGCTCCCACGATACAGGACGTATCCTAGTGTGGAGGTAATGATTTTTTTTTATATATAAAAGGAAAAAAGAACATATTCTCGTAAAACACACGGCCGTCTTTACACCTCGCCCTGAGCTCGTCTGGAAAGATGAACTATGCAAGTTCTCTTGGTGGATTTTTTCCCTCGCACATCGATTAGCTAGATCGCACAGCTCTGTTGGGACGCAGTATAACAGAATTAAAAAGTAAAAATAAATGTATCCTCAATTGAACTAAAGGAATGAAATAAGTAAATAAATACTGCGTTATCAAAACCTAACAGCTATGGCAGGGTTTCCCAAAGTATGCGCAACTCGGTGCCCTGGTACGCCGTGAAGCGCTCCTGTTTACCATTCTCCGGAAACTAAACTGTATACGTAGGTATAAATTATAAGTGTAATAAAGATCAAATATCGCCCATAAATTAATGTGGAGCAAAAAATGAAAGTAGCGATGTCAAGCCTTATCCCCCACGCTTTGAAAAAATGTGTGGAGATCACCAAGCTCGCAGCAAGTCACATTGTCTAAGTTGCCATTGTATTTTATTTCCTATTTTTGGTTAAATAAAAAATGTCTTCCTGTGTCAATAAAAACTCAGCTTATATTGTAGATGTGTTAATTTTTGGGCCAATCTACCGAGTATCATTGCACCCTATTTCGATTAGCTAGGGCGCAGAGACAAATTACTAAACCTGTAAGTACGCCACGAACTGAAGAAGTTTGGGAACCCCAAGGGTTTTAATGTAAAATAAAAGAAGGATGATTTGCTGCATCATTTATTACCACATCAAAACATTACTTACCATAGATATGTGCAAGGAAGGTTTTTAAAATTCTGTATTAAAACGTTACTTAACACGCAAACAATCGTTAGAAACGACATTGGCCTAATTGGTTAAGGGTGGATATCGACATTGTATCGGTACTGATACAATAAATATTCACATTGTTATGCACCACTTTTAGCTTTTAGCTTACAGAAAGTGGTAACATCAATACTTTCTTTTTAATCGGCTTCAAAGGAAGAGTTTATTTCCTTCTGTAATATTTATGCCACCAAGCAGCAGTACAAGTATCGTCAAGCATACCATCTTACTCCTTTAGGCATACCATCTTACTCCTTTAGTCCTCAGCTAACTAAATAAAAGCCATCATCACTTGAAGTTGATTGCAGGTGTCCATGGGCTGTTGTAGCCACTTACTATACTTTGTAACTTTATAACTTCAACTTAAAAGAATATCACTACATTTTTACTTTTTTTTAAATATAGAAAGAATAAGGGTGATAAGCGAGCAGCCCACACGTTGATAAGTGGAAGCTGTGACCTGTTGACATCTACATTTATCCTCAATGAAGCATCAAAATGCAGATACGTTGTCACCCCTGACGACAGATGGAATTCCTCGTTTCCAGTAAATGGGTCCTCCAGTTCTCTACACTCAACATACGAAACACACCAGCATTGTTCGCCAGCAGTGCGCCAGTTTCTGATTTGGCAATGTCATTTAGTAATAACTCACATAAACGTGCATTGTCACAATAGTGGATATTGTTCTTTCAATATAAAATTACGGAACTTCATAATTAAAATTAATAATAATAAGCTTCTCTATTTTTTAAGGTTTACAAGACTTACTCATACAACAGTAAGTTCCAGTGTCAAATAAACTGGTTAACCTATATAGGTGGTAGAGCCCAGTGTGTGAGCACTGAGGGACCAAGCTGGGAATTCGCGAAATGAATTGCTAAGGATTTAGTAGTTTTGTAGTATGCCTGAAACAATTGTAGAACAAATCCTGGAATTCGTAAATAAATATATAAAAACGTACAGCCCTTTTGAAGTGACTTATAGTGATTGGATTATTTTTCGAGCAAAATATACATCTAAACAGTAAAATAGTTACATTCATAACCTGAACACTAGATAGACTTCGGAAAATGTACTAAAGCTTAGTGTAATCATTCCTATTTTATAAGAAAATACTAAGCAAGTGAGCCAAGCATTTCCATACATACATAAACACTCACGCCTGTCACCCAAAGGGGTAGGCAGAGACTACGGACTTCCGATTGGCACGGTCCTGACACGCCTCTCTCACCTTCTTTACATCCATAACTCTACGCATACATGCTCGTCGGTTACGGTACTCCTAATCTGGCCCATTTTTAATATATCGCCAATTTGGTCGATAAACTTTCGTCTAGGGCGGCACTTCCCGATTCTGCCGTTCACATCTACAATATTGATTTGCTTTGTCACTCTTTCCTGCTCAATTCTAATATGCCTTAACGGCATATTAGAATTGAGCTAGTGTTGTCTCTATCACTAAGTCCAAGTGACTGTGACACCACGAGAGTTATAGACATCTTAAAATTGAGTAGCATTTGAGTATTTGGCCATGATCCTCTTATGAAACAAATGACACTACAATTTTAGAACAAAATAAGTTTGAAAAGTGCGCCCGTGGATGTGTGTGTTTTTGTAATAATTTCAAACTCTCCTAAACTAACCAACATCAACTTACCACAGCCAGGGGATAAAGCAAATAAAACAAAAAGCATTTCCCGACACTGTGTCAAGATTTATTGTAAATCCATCATACACAGCGGTCGGTTGTTAACTTAAGGCTAGGGTAGATGGTCTACTTGTCGTCGTCTTTGAACACCATGGTGCTGTGACACTTGCCGCAGTAGTGGCGGTCCTCCATGACAGCCATGAACACTCCCGCGCCACATTGCTCTCCGGTGCATTCACGACGCAACCGATGGATCTTGCCGTTCTCGTCCACCTGTATACAAAAGCTCATTTAAGAATTCATCATCATCATCATTACAGTCCTTCACAAGTCTACCGCTTAAAATAGGCCTCCTCAAGGAATGCTACAAAGCATGGTACTGAACCACATGCATCCATCGATTTCCTGCATATTTTATCAAGTTGTCACTCCATCTAGTGGGTGGCCACCCTATACTTCACTTACCGACATTTTTTAACCGGTTCAGTGCGGGTGACACGCCAGGCGTGCCATCGATTACTTTTGTGTGTGGCGTATGACACGCGAGTCGTGTCTTTTTAAAAATCGTTATAACTCGCTCAAATTGCTTTTTGGGAAAATTTATCCAGAATAAAATATTCATTATTTTGCGAGTAGTTCATGCATGCAGCTTCGTTTCTGGATATATTGAAAAATTAAAATTTTTAGGGGTTGACAACCTTGTTTTAACGTGTACATGGGGTACCATTTTTACTTTGTGGGTTTTAAATCATGTTATGGAAAAATAGTCTCTCTAAAATTCAATTTACTATGGAGTTAGGAGGCAAATAATTCTTTAGCTCTCCTAGGTGTTAGTCATTTGAAACACTAACAACACCATAGGTCACACTGTATAGAAAAAAGACCCATACAAACCGATATTTAAACAGTGAATCCCACCATCATCCTTCACAGTTAGCTTCCTACCATGGGCAAATCTTTGTTACAGAGACCACGAGGGAACTGTGACAAGCAAACACCTGGCCGCCGAGCTTCAGCACAAGCAGGTTCTGCACGACAACAAGCTTCAGGTCACAGCCTACATCACAGTGACCGAGTGAAGCCGGCAGTCAAACGTGTGCCTGCTATACTACTATATGTTAGAGGTGTCACAAGCAAGATTGGCTACATCTTGAAGCCAGCTTCTATTAGAACATTCTTCAAGCCGCCGAAGTAGAATAGTCAGTTCTTACCATCCGTCAAGTGCAATATTCCTCTACAACATGCAGGAGTGTACAAGCTTGATTGTGAATGTGGTCTCTCATATATAAGGTAAACAAAGCGATCTATCAAAACCCGCGTTAAAGGACACACAACTGACGTGAAACACCAACGTTCCAGGAAGTCTGCAGTTTGTGATCATATCCTAGACGGCCCCCGTCATTACATTAGACTTGATAAATCACAAATTCTCACGACAGAACATCGATTCTTGCCAAGGATAATACATGAGGCTATTGAAATTAAATAACATCTAATTTCAATAGAGGGAGATTGGGTACTACCTCCTGCTTGGGATCCTGTAATTAATAAGATTAAAACTAAACCCAAGCATACCACTACAAGACTTCCAAGACACAGTAAGTTCATTCTGCATAGATCGGACCAAAATTAATAATTAAAAAAGCTGAAAGTATTCCGGATTAACTCTCATATCGGGGCGTCAATCACCTCAGTCCCCCGTGACCATGGGTGTTGTAAAGCACCCGAAACGTCGGGAATTAATAAAAAAATAAGTTAATTAAACATGACAGAATCTGTAAAAAGTTTTATTAAGAAGTTAGTTTTATTCGACATCAACAAAATTAGTTAACGGGAGTAGTAATTATGTTATCAAACAGTGGTGACATATGCTAGTCTATGAATCACTGAAATAGTCAATCTTCAAACTTGTTCATACAAGTAAAATTTATAAACAGTATAACATGAGTCATGGAAAAATTCATATGTGCATTGTGCACATTCATTTGTTAACAAACTTTTGAAATTTTACGTAATATATTCCACACCGTGTGTTGGTGATGCACAATAATCTAATATTTCGTCTCGAGGGTCACAGTAAATGCTATAGAAAATCTTATGGCTTCGAAAATATAGTGGTATAGGTTATCTTGTTAAGCCACATGGAATTACCCAAAATGCCATAACCCACTCTGTAAAAGGTGTGGCTGTATATAAAGCCTTTCAAAAATGGTAGTCTCATGTTGCAGTGAAGATGTTTGTTAAATTTTAAAAAACTATGAAAACCTGAAATGAAATATTTTAACTCTGAACCTAACTAACCCAGAAAGTATTAATCGCCTAATTAACTAACATTCCGCAATTATCCTTTCATGGTACTCAATGAATGATTTACTGGCACACAAAAACAAGATTTATTAAAAAGGACACCATATAATACAAACAACTCACCTTGTAGAATCTGAGCACAGCTAGTTTGACCTTCTTCTTCTTGTGCTTGATCTTCTTGGGTGTGGAGTAATTCTTCTTCTTACGCTTCTTGGCACCACCACGTAACCTCAGCACCAGGTGGAGTGTGGACTCCTTCTGAATGTTGTAATCCGAAAGGGTGCGGCCATCTTCAAGCTGCTTTCCGGCGAAAATTAACCTGAATAGAGAAAAATAATTTTTGGATGAAGTTCACAATTATTGTAAAGTTCATAAATATTTCATTAAGAAGTAATTGCATTAACTGATGATCTTTCAATTCTCAGATAAAAGTTATCTGTCAAATAAATAACCTGACATTTTTTATAAAATAAGGGTCTATATAAACATACACATCTACCCTCGACTAAAAATCAAAATGGTCATGCAGTGATAATACCCCTGAGGACTAAGATGGAATGGCCCTTTTTCAGTAACAGGGTCTCCAGTTCTCTACACTCACCATAAGAAACACGGCATAACTGAATATAAAATTAAAACATTTTAACTAAAAAAAATTATTAAAAATAATTTAATTTTTTTATAGAATATGGATGACAAACAAGCACACACTCCACCTGATGGTAAGTGGATGCTGTGGCACATAGACATCTTCATATATCCTCAATTAAGAATCAAAATGCAGATGCATTGTCACCCCTGAGGACTAAGACAAAATGCCTCATTTCCAGTAAAAAGGTTCTCCGGTTCTCTAAGCTCACCATATGAAACACAGCAGCATTAAGTTGCTATTCTGTGAGAGCATGGTCCTACCCCGGTTGAGCCAACCAATTTGTGCTACAACCATAATATAGGTGAAGTGTGGCTCTACCACATACATTTTATTTATATTGTATTTTATCCTATATATTAATTTTATCTAAGGACTGAAAATCGGCCCTAAGTAAATCATGGCACTGTACTTACAAATATCATGCAGGTCACTGCTGCTGCAGTGTTTAACTATTTCCATAGAAGAATAACTATGCTAATCAATCCAATTTACTCTAGGGCCTAGACTTGTATTTAATACTTTATACCAACCTCTGTTGATCAGGTGGGATTCCCTCCTTATCTTGGATTTTAGCTTTGACATTTTCGATGGTGTCTGAGGGTTCAACCTCGAGGGTGATGGTCTTCCCCGTGAGGGTCTTCACGAAAATTTGCATCTTGGCTCCTAGGAATTAAAAATTACATAATATAAGACATCTACTAAGTATTGTTAAACCTGCATCAAACATGTGGTCTGCATGTGGTGAGATACACCAGAGTAAAACAAAACTGGAGATGGGAACAAATGGATATTCCTGATGATAACTGAAATACAAAATACTGCAATAGCCAACCTACCTGCCAGCTACCCCAAATGAGACAATCTATGGGGGAGGGCTACGTTTAGCACTAACTTTCTGAACAATATAATACAACTCTACGAGTGAAAACTATAACCCAATATACCCTTATCCAGTTTGTACTGTACACTGGTTGAACCTTGGCCTCGCCCATATGACTTACTAGGTTGTCACAGTATCTATTGAAGGGCTGGCTTCCACTTTTCTTAACCTTAATACCTTAATGTGATAAAAACTGGTTGCAAATACTGGTTAGTTTCTTTAACAGGTGTCCCTTAACTTCACCCCCATTGGAAATCATATTATCTCAGTAAGAATTTAAATAAAAACTACATTATGTTCAACATAACATATTTAAAACCCACATATTTGTTACTACCTATAACAATACAATAGCTCACCACGCTACAGGTTTACTTGCAGAGAATGCCAGCAGCATCAAATCCACCCCTTGTAACCCTTAAATAAATAATTATTCCTAAACAGATTTTTAGATATAGTTCATATAAAGTAAAACAACAAATTCTAGTTAAATTTTATTGACATTAAATCAATATCACATAACATCAAACAAGAAGTATAGCATTAATTACACCATCATTCTCAGGATTGTTGGTGACCTGAGCATACTTCCCCCAAACAACTTTTCCAGCCTGTGTCACAAGACCAAGTTCAGAAATGTTCACTTCAATGACCGTACCCTTAGTTATAACTCCCAAACTTGTATACATTTGAGAGCTGGGATTCTTTTTAACACCTATTATTGGCAGACAGAAGGTGGCTTTCAATTCTGGGTGGGTGACATGTGCTTTTTTAAACCGCAATGCCATTGGCCGAATGAAACGCTCAAACTTAGGCGGTTTACGTGTGAAGTTTTCTCCTACAAATGTAACTTTGGTTACCATCCGTTTCCATGCTTTTCTCTTTGATTTACCAGACTTTAAAACTTTAAACACTTCAGCATCAGCTTGTGCTCTTACTTTTGGTATTGGAACATCCCATTTTCCTGCTTTTTCTTTGCGTTTCTGTTTAATCATATTTGACAGAACTTTGGCGCGGGATTGTACATCTCTGTCCAGAAGATACACAGGCAACGCACCCTCAGACACTTTCTCTGTATTTTGTTTAACATTTTTCTCCTCATGTGCCTTGATCTTCTTTTTCATTTGAATCTTTTCATTACGACGTTCCTTGTTGTAAATCTTAGCCTTGATACCTCTTAACTTACGCGCCTTTTCAGCTCTCTTATGTGGCTCACGCGCTTCCTTCTTTCTTTTCCGCTCTTCATAATCAAGCCGCCTACCGTAAAGCTTTTTGTGGCGTTCAATGTATTCGTTCTGCGGCATTGTTGTTGCTTTAACGGCAACTACAACAAAATTTGTTTGCTTATCAAATCTTCAATTCAAATACTTCCACCAATAGCTGTTTATAACCTCTTCACAAATAAACAGTTACAAAAATCACATTTTAACTTAATTTACGGCCCGAATTTTATAAGGCACCTATTCCCGATTCACCATTCAATTAAAAAAAAAAAACAGAATTATTGTAAATTTGTAAAAACAATTAAACCAAAACAGGTTCAGGAGTATCCACGTGCAGATTTTTTTAGGAATAGTTATTAGGGACCAAAATGTAAAAGTTATTAAAATTTACTTACGCCTACATTAACTATAAACGTATTAGTTATTAAATTGCAGTGATTTTACTCAAATAACGTAAAATACAAAATGTTTTAACACGAGATTGACAAACTCACCTTATGCCGACACCATGCCACAAGGAAAAGGAAGTTTAACATAGACAATCAAAAACCCACATAGACAAGAAAACATGAACAGATAAAATAAATCCATAAGGCCCGTCATATACATACGGAATTCCGTTTCGAGATTCCGTTTCGGAATTTCGAACGGTCCGCCACACACAAACGGAATCCCGTTTTGCCCGCAAAATATCGAACGGAAAACTACCGTACGTGTGTGGCGGGTCATAGATTTTATATGGACTTGCTGCGTTCGGGATTCCGAATCGGAATATCGAAACGGAATCTCGAAACGGAATTCCGTATGTATGTGGCCGGCCTAAAGGCCTGTACTCACTTTGATTAGTATGAGTGCAGGTGATTAGTAATTGTGGGTGATTAGTGCAGGTGTGTAGTGTGAGTAGTGTCCAATTCTGATGAGTAACTGTGTCTAGTAAATAACATGTAAAAAACACCGCCAGAAGCACGCTTGCGATTGCAAGAAATACTGAAAGAAATATTAAAAAAGTTAGGCTGTTTACTATTGTATAGACATTTATGTTCTAGACACTTCTACACAATTTTATAGGTTATCTTCGATCCACATTGCCATTTTTTCAACACAAGCGAGTCTCCGAAATACTAAACACTGCTGTCCAGATATGTTTAGTGGCAGACATGCTGCAAGTGTGGGAAGGGCGTGCGTGATTTGTATACTCACAGTCAACTCGAAAAAAATAGAACACGCCTTTAATCATTGTACTACGCAGGTTACTAGTCACTTGCACTAATCACCTGCACTATTCACTAATCAAAGTGAATACAGGCCTTAATACTATGCCTACATGTATGCCCACAAATTGCTTGCTTAGTGCCGTTATTTATTTAAAATAAAAAAAGCAAAAATAAAAAGAAAGAGTTTTTAATTCCATTTTAACATACGTAGCGGCAGCTCATTATTCTGAACGAAAAGACCTTGGTAAAAAAGACAATCTAAAAGAAATCTTGGTAAAAGAATCAATCAGCGCTACTTATGCTCAATAAGCCAATCAGCGCAACTTATGCATAATAACGATTACTGCTTGCATCGAGATCGATGATTTTGATCTATGTGCTATGTTAGTTTTCGTAGCTTAGAAAACTATTTGCAGTGGTCAATGAACAATCAAGTTTTGATAGCAGCCGTAAGTTTTTAAGACAAGTTTTAATTTCTATTGACTTTAAATTTAAGAAATGCCAAGCAAACAGACTGAATCTCATAGAAAAACAAACGCTTAAAAACGTGAGTATTATTTAAAGCACATCCTTGAAAACAGATGATTGCCCAAGTATCTCCAAAAAAAAAACATTATTTATTTGGATGAGAGCTACATACACGAGTCCTACAAAAGTAACTAAATGTTGGCAGTCTATTAATATTTCTGGTGTCCAACAAGATATATCTAAGGGAAAAGGGTGGATAATTGTGCATGCTGAAAGTGAGAATGGTTTTGTGCCTAATGCACTATTAATATTTACTGGTAAAAACAAGCAAGATGATTACCATTCTGAGATGAACGCCAATAATTTTACAAAATGGGTAACTGAAAAGTTAGTACCCAACATAACTGAACCATCAATAATTGTGATGGATAATGCACCAAACCACTCCATTATAACAAACAAGGCATTATAATAATTCTTTCTTATACTTTATTTTTGTTTTATATTATTACTTATTTTTTATGTTGCAACTAAAAATCAACTGTTAAATTAAGTTTTTTTTGCCCCAGGCACCTACATCTGCATCAAAAGATGAAATCAAATTGTGGCTACGGAAAAATAATATTACATTTGATTAAACGTTGCGGAAACCATCCTTATGGATGCTTGTAAAAAAACATAAACCTGAACCGGTATATTATATCGATGAACTCCTAGGGGAACATGGACATACAGTGGTAAGACTACCACCCTATCATGTTGTGATCTGAACCCCATTAAATTAGTTTGAGCAATGGTAAAAAAGCGAATCGTACAAAAGAATGTTTGTGGTCAAGTTGTTGCGAAGTTGGCTACAGAATCATTTCAGTCAGTAACTCAAGAAGAATGGAAAAATGTGTTGACCATGTCATCAAAATAGAAAATTAATATTTTGCCCGTGCAGGATCTCTGTATAATGATATAGAAAAACTTGTCATCTCAGTAAGCGATGACAATTCCAGTGAATCTGAAGAGTTAGAAATTACCAATTTAATTACACAGGATCTTCAGGCAACATTTCGGGAGTTACATACCTCGACTCAGATTATTTCGACTCAGATTAATAATCAAAATATAATAATTGCACCCAAGGTTTTGCTTGCAACCAAGCTGCAAAAATAAAACAAAAAAACATTTTTTTTTGTTTTAGTTTTGAACCTTGGGTGCCTGCTGTCTGTCAAGGCTGTTCTTGTGTAAAAACAGCTTTCCTTAATTACTTGTAGGATACACAGTCAAATTATCTCAATTATTAAGTATGTGAATTTAGCTAATTACTGTTGCTCTAATTTACAAGGGTCAAGGGTTACGCATACCAATAAAAGCATGTAATTGAAAAAATATGGTAGTAAAGGGCAAGGGCAGAAATATAGTTGACAAAAATGATTGCGTCTAGAAATAACTTATATGTAAAATGAGTTTAATAATTTTCTATGATTATTCAAATAAAAATGTATTTTAAATAAAACCACAGAGAAAAACTTATATTTTTGGGAATATCAAATGACTATAATCATTTAACACTATTCAAGTGTTTCCATTTACTACAGGCTATATATTACGCTACTAATATACTATATTCATACTATTTTTGTATACACTTTGTAAGACTACCCCAACACAACACACAAACACAAAATATTTTTGTAGGAAGTTATCATTAGTAATAACTATACTATCAGTAATAACAAAAATAATAGTGATATGTAATAAAATATTATGAAATAAAAGTGTATGGTTGAAAATAAACCTCTTACAAAGAATTTCTTGCAACAATACATTATCTCAATCATAGTACTATGTAAGAATTCCATTTAATGTTATGGCAACACTAGCTAAAACAAAATGTCACTGTATGGCACAAAGGGCCAGAAGCCATGCCAGAAATATACATTTATAGTACAATGCACAAACTATATAGAAACACTACGCGTTCAGACGGACGTCTCTGGTACATTTAGTTTGGACCGTAGAGCAAATCAGAACATGACATTTCGTTTTTTTTTTAAATATGAATTGGATATAGGCAAGGGAATAATTTTATTTCAGCCCAGTATAATTACACACACACACACCTATATATATATATATATATATATATATATATATATATATATATATATATATATAATATTATATATAGGTATATACCTATATAATATTTTTATATTCATAATTTTAATTACTATTATTATTATTTTATTATGAAGGATTCGTAGAAATAAAATGCAATGTATATATTATTTATTATATGATTTATTTTTTTAACTTTTTTAAACTTGTTCAAGTTTTTTTTTTGGATTGGTGGCAATGTACACTTTTCGATTCTAATGATGTCCGTGCCTTTCAGAAACCCATGTGTGGTACATGCTATAGAGTAAACATATAATTCCTCCTTTGCTGCTTGCACTTGAATATTTTCAGTGAAAAGGTTCTCTTCAATACATTCGATATCCAGTGTATTGAGCTGGAAAAAGGAATATTTAAATACATAAATTACAAGTTTAATATGCACATATTAAACTTGTTGCTCATTGTAATTGTTGTAGTTTATAAATATTTGCATAGAAAATGTCAAGACAAGAAGAGGCCATTGTAATCAGATAAAGTTACTTTCACATCAATCTAAGAAGCTTTCACAATTCAGAAATTTCCAATAATTTTTGAACATAATTATCATTGATACCTAAGATAATTAAGTACACTGTAGCAATTTTTGATAGAAGGTTGGGAGGATAAAAGTATATTTTGTAAAGTAGCCAATTATCTATTGGAGTCTATGTTCATGTTCTACTGCTGGGCACAGACTGTCTCATTTCTCAGAGGGGTATGAAACAATGAGTTGGGCAAGGTGCTTATTGGTAGACTACATCTTTAAAATATTTTTATTCCTTAGACACACAGATTTCGTCACAATGTTCCAGAACATGATAAATTAGCACTTAAAATTGGAATTAACATTAATTCATTTATTTCAGGGTGTAGACAGAGATCAAATTTGCTCAAAAATATAAACATATTACTAATCCTAATAAAAATTAAAGTTTTAGAATGGCGATTGTTTTGCAATTTCAACTTTACATGATTATTACCTTAATTTTTTTACTTCGTTGGGAATCACATGGTCATCATTTAGTTTATCTAACAAGCGCAATTGAGTATGCTTGCAGTCCTGTTTAGTACACATCATCTTGTCATTTTGATACATTTCCATCAGTTATTATGTGTTTTGACAGCAAAATTATTCCTCATACCTTTTTTTATGATGGCTGATCAAATATCACACTAAATTTATTTGAACTGTATCATCTGAAATAAAAACATAAAAGATTGTTTGTCATTGTCATTCAGACATCCTTGATT